CCAAAACTTAGGTATACATAATCGCCAAATTATGCGATTGGTTTTTCCCTTGAAACCATCGAAGATATGTCAACGCAAATATTAATATTTAAGCAATAAATTATAACATATATTATAAAAGATGGAGCTGCGAAATAAATTAAATGCGGCCGTCGTCCTTCGCGTTAATTCTCGTCAATTTCAAGTTCAAGTTCACAATGTAGTTCTACATTGTTGGCTTGATCATTGTTATTAGTACTCTCTTGCAGAAACTTTGTGTATTTTGTTAAAGAAGAACGGAGAACTTAATGACCAAAGTAGTTAATGCTTAGAAAAATGAATACCTAATAATTACTATTTCAGAAAGTATTTATTTGTTTAAAACAGGTAATAATCTATAACGATTTACTGACTTACTAGAAAAGCGAACATCTTCAAATAATTGCACAGCCTACAAATGAAATCTACAAGAGAAACTTTTGGGAGGCAGATTATACTGAAGTAAGCCAAACCCTTTAGCTTAGCAACAACTTGCACAGCCTGATGACCCACATTCATTTGAAGAATTCTCTGAGGCTTTGGGATTTACAATCAACAAGCATATGCCATACACACCACAAAAAGTTAAGGGAAACAGAGGAGAAGAGACTCACGGCACAAATAAGAGGCACAACAATATTGAAGAAAATTAACAACATTACCCCATTTGAATCTGACCAGCAGATTGCAGAGTATTTTGCACAGTGTTTCTACTAAACTCAGCCCTACAGATATTGGACCAACATTTCCAGTTGAATCCTATTCCAGAGCAGAAATCAACACCATAAATTTCACCTCAGAAAACGTAGAGATCGCCATTAAGTCCCTAAGGGTGAACTCTGGTCCTGGACTTGATGAGATCCCTTCTGTATTTCACAAAAAAAAATTGTACACTCTAAAGGGGCTTCTGTCAGCCTCTAATCATCTAAAATTCTCAGTGTAAAAGTTGTCGATGTACTGCAAACTACCTGGCTTGGAAGGTAAATATATAATAATTTGTAGCTCTTTGGTTAGTTTATACCCTGGCGGAACGTCAATACCAAATTTAAATACGGTGTGTGACTGTAGAATTGAGATATGCTCCAGAAGTTAGTTTCATTACATTAACTGGAAGAACCGATTCATGCCATATACATTTTCTGCTAGTCTACTCTCTTTGAATCCTAGCAACTTTTCTAGGGAATTTTTCGTGATAAACACTATATCATATTTTGATTTTATTCCACATTTGAGTGTATTGATATAAATAATAATTTATTTTTATCCCTTAGTTCAACAATTGTATCACTTATTCCTTCTATTTTATATAGCACTTATGAATGACATCATATCCACAGAAGATTCTCCACCGCCTTGCAAAAAAGCAGTTGTTATACCTATATTCAAAAAGGGATTGGATCGTGTCCGATAACATTGAGTGTGTAGATAAAAGCATCCAAGACATTCGTGGCTTTTTATGTAGTAGTTAAGGATATTGAAAACAAAACAGACATCAACGTATTCCCTTCTGCGAACAAGAGCAGTTAAGTCTAAGTAAGTCATAGTCTGGTCATTGGTCAACGCTGAGAATCACACCACTCAGAGACAGTTTGTACCTAGCAAACTTGATAGATTTGTTTTGAACACTCTCAAGCCTATTGATGTGGATCTGATATTAGGTGACCAAATTATGTAAGAGAATTCAAGAACGGATCTGACCAGTGATGTGTAATGCATTTTGATGAGGCGTATACTTGTAAAGTCCCTAGTAGTTATTAATAAAACCCAACATTCTATTAGCCCTGCCAATTACCACTGCAGAATGCTTGGTGAACATTAACAAGATGTCATTGACATTGACTAGTATCTAGATAGACACTAAGATCAGATGTCAGAAACTTCACACAAGCGAACATCACCTAAGCAATACTGAAAGGGAACCTTACAAGTGAGCCTACTGAATCTTATACAACAACACTTATCAATGTTGAGGAACATGTCATTAAGCTAACACCAATCATAAACAATGTTAAGATCGTTTTGCAGAATAGGTATGTCTTGAGCTGACGTCACCTGACGATACAACTTCAAGTCATCAGCGAAAAGTAAAAAATTCGAAAAGAGCAACGATCCTCCATCATTGATAAATAAGGTGAATAGAAGGGGGCCCAAGATAGAGATGTAACGTGAAAAAAAACAATCCGTTTTTTTTGTTTTTTTTCAAGTTTTTTTTCATGGTTTTTTTTCAAATGGTCTTTTTTCAGATTTTGTGTTTTTTTTCTAAACTTAGCACCATATGCGTATTTTTTACTTTTTTGCCAATTAAACTTTTCTTGGGACAAAAAATTGGTGAAATATGGATAAAACGTAAAATATTGCCTTATTCTATATAGAAATAACATAGAAACAATATTGGGTCTGTTTCTGCAGAAATCACAAACCAGTCAGAGCGAATTTCTGCAGAAACAGACCCATTCTTATGTAAATGAAACATATTTTCAGGTCAGGTACATGGTACATCCATGTTAAACTATCATATTATATCAGATCATACATACAACATACATAAAGTCTGTTTTTTTTTTAAAGATAATTCCCCAAGTCAAAAATTTAGTAACTATGTTGGCAACACAAGCCTCTTCTACATAAAAAAATTTGAAGCATTGACAAATTTACATTGAATTGCCAACATAATGTCTTTTGCCTTTTATCTTTAGAAAAAAAAACAGATTTTACTAGAACAGAACATCACTGATATAAGACACTTTCTCTGTATAAAGAATTTTCAGACTGTAACTACGTCTCCAGGGTCGTCAAATGTCCGTTTTTTTTACTTGAAGATGAGGTTGGAGATACTCACGAAGTTTAAAATTGAATTATTTTGAAAAAAAAAACACCAAAAACTTGGTTTTTTTCATGTTTTTTTTTTCAAATCAGAAAAAAACCTGCTTTATTACATTTGAATCATTTAGAAAAAAAAAAAAACGTTTTTTTTTCTGGTTTTTTTTCAACGTTTATTTTCAAATCTGAAAAAAAACCGTTTTTTTACATCTCTAGCCCAAGAGGATGCATGAAAAAGAGAAGAAAGATAGCCATCGATCTTGACTTGTTGCATTCTGTAAGGTAAGATTTCATCCATGAAAGTAAGGGTCCAGAAACGCCATAACTTGAGAGCTTTGAAAGAAAGATGTTAGGGTTTACCTTATCGAAGGCTTTACTGAAGTCAGTGGTTTGTATCAATAGATCTACTGGCTGTGAACCCATGCTGTTGACTGATTACAATTTGATGAAATATTTTTGAAAGAATATTTCCAACGCACTGCTCAAATAATTTAGGAGTTGCAGACAGGATGCTGATAGGTCTGTAGTTTGTTACATCATTCTTGCTGCCTGACTAGTGAATAGGACAAACATAGGAGAGCTTCCACATTTCTGGAAAAATTCCAGAGTTTAAGGATTTGTTAAAAATAATAAATAGAGGGAGATATAAAGTGTTAGAACAAGATTCTAGCACTATGTTAGAAATACCATCAGGTCCTGCAGACTTGTTGATGTTCACTTGCTTTAAAGCCCTCTCAATATTGGTTTGTTCTATGACAATGCTTGAAACATTCTCAAATCGATCAGCAAAAGTTCCAGCGTTGCAATTTCTCTGGGGGTTAGAGACAGAGAAAAAATTAACAGCAAAAAGATTAGCTATATCAAGATACCAAGATTATACAAGCTATCTCATTTTGGAGTCTGGGGCGATTCACTGCGACTTCTTGAGGAATTCTTTACTGGACGAACCTTTCAGGTCAGGACAGGAATATCACTCTCAGTTGATTACTCTGCACATAGCGACGTACTACAAGGCTCAGGCTTGGGGCCCTTACTTTTCTTGGCGTAATCGAAAGACTTATACCAAAAACTGAAGACCAAATAGAAATCGTTTGCAGATGACACAAGCCTATCCTGCAATCCACTACTACAGTTTGTAGACCTCCACGAAGACTTGTACACCATCAAATAGTGGACAATATTTTGGAAAATGCAATTGAATAATGACCTCAAGTGCACAGTTCTGTATATCGGCCAAAATAACCCTGAAAATCACCTTCTCCAACAAATGTCAAAAAGTTTTGTGGCAGAAAGACCTGGCAATAACAATCACATCAGACTTGAAATGGGAACGACATCACTGAAATGACAAAAAAGCCAATTCACTAATCTACTTCATTCCAAAATCTTTAAAGTATCTATCTAAAAAAGGGTTTTAAAGCTCTACAAAACTTATGTAAGACTTAAAGCCGCCCATTTCATCTGAAACCAATAATACATCAAAGACATTGAATTGATTGAGAGAGTACAGCTTTTTTACTACTACTTTACGAAAGCCGCCTTAACCAACTAAACCTAACTACATTGAAAGACAGAAGAACGAAGAACGAGGGGAGACATGAAATTCTTCTTCGCCACTAACGCCACCAATAGCAGAGGACATAACCAGAAAATTGAAAAGGCAAAATGTTACAAGTTACTTAGAAGAAATTTCTTGACAAACAGAATAATTTATCTAGTCATGATCATACAATATCATAATCACTTTAAAAATCGTTTGGATTCAGAAATGAGGGGCTGGAGCAATACGTTTGTGCATTATGGTGTTTAATTTGTGAACAAACTGTGAAAAACTAAAAGTCTCAGTGGTCTCATTGGTTATCAATCTGCGTACCATTGATATCCATAATAATAATAATAATTAAATTAATAATAATAATAATCCGCGTGTGTTGTTAATCCCATACCGGACGCCTCCCCAGGTGGGGAATGCCTACCAGATATGGTGGGTACCGAGGAAATCAAATACTCGGGGCGAACGAAAATTAGCACACACGCGATGGTACTCCATGTTAGGAGCGGCACTCTAACTGCGTCTGTACTCCATGTTAGAAGCGGCTGAATACTGGTCGTCGGAGACCTATTGGCGAGAGCTTATCTCGTAACTCAATTTATTTGAAGCAATGAATATACAAAATAAGGGAAAAACCAACTGTGGCGGTAGGGATATGGAAGCGATTCGGAACTGTCGTGATGTTTCGCTTACAGTGGATGTTGATGAAGCAAGTGGCGCCACTTCACTGAATGGAACCACAAGAATGGCTACAAATAAGGACAACAAGATCTGCAGAAAATCAAACCAAAAAATATCTTTTACCAGAGAAAATATATTCGGAGACGGCCTTTTTAGAGCGGCAAGCTTGCACATATATGGGCATCAAGATTCTCATGGTCAGCTGAGACAAGATGCCGTCAAATATATACTGGAAACTGCAGGTTTATGTTGTGCTGGAAGAAGACAGGTTAAAAAGTGCTAGTGAATACTGCACAAATATATGAATCACAATCAACAACACGAATATTCAGTACAAACCATACTCCAACATTGATAAGTAAAAGAAATTATAAAAAGATCATTTACTCACTATTAATTTGAGATCTCCTGGCAGGCGATTTTGAGATTTTAAAACCTGTCATTGCAAAAAACGATAATGATGTTGAAACTGTGGATTCTCTAAGTAAGCATGAACTTGCAGAAGATAATGGTGAGGTTGCAGCTAAATCTGAAACCAGCTTATGTGTCACATGGATTGAAAATGCACTGAAACGTGCGTCCACTAAAGGAGAGAGTACGGATAAAATGGGATCAGGAAACTAATAAATACGTTCTTTACTGAATATCCCAAAATATTACATGAGGAATTTACTAAAAAATATCCTGAAGTAAATGTGTCTGAGCAAAGATTGTCTGACCAAAGGAGAGTCATAATTAAAAATAAAATGCTAAACGATGAGATACTTGCAGAACAAAAAGGTGAAGCGACCAAAATGATCCAGTGTCAGGAAAATGAATCAGAGCAACCTGACTCTGTATTGAACCCAAAAGAAAACGGTTCCTCAGAAGTAACAAGGCACTTCAGGGAAACTTAACACAAAAACTTCTAAAAAATCTTGAAGAATATCAATATGTACCTCCTGAAAATAGACCAAAACTACCCAGATTAAGGTGTGATGAACAAATGGTTAGCATTTTAACCTCCAGCTTCTACCAAAACTGCTAAGTGGATGTAATGATCTGGAAGAAATTCAAGCACTTGTCTACTGTAGTGCCTTAACAATATTGGATAACCTGGAATATGCTATGTTAACTCGAAAACTGCATGCAAATTGCAAACAGGACCGAAGAAAACCATGGCAAATCAGACTCGAGAATGGACATAGGAAGACTTACTTAATATATCAGAACTTCTAAATGCACCAATAGGCTACAAAACAAAGTTCAATACATCCTCCGAAAAAACCGCGTTCATAGCACACATGAAAGCCTAAACGTAGGACCAGAAGAATTCCTAGACACTCTAGAACAAAAGTTGGCATTGAAATCCAGCAGACTTCCACGGTACAATAAAGCCCAGAAACGAAAGCACCAAAACTCATTATTCTGTGCTAATGAAAAGAGATTCTATCGAGATATCTTAAAAACAAAAGAGACACAACCTGATGCACATTTAAGTTTGCCCAATGTTGAATCGTTGTACGAGTTTTGGTCTGGCATTTGGTGTTACCCAGTTGAATATAATATATAAGCTAATTGGATTGAAGATATGAAAGCAGAAAATGAAATGAGACCTAGAGAATTTTCAACAACAGAAATTACAAATTTCATAAAAAAACAAAAAAAGCTGGAGGGCTCCGGGACGAGATCAAGTGCATGCTTATTGGTATAAAGCTTTCAATATTATTCACGAAATGTACTAAATATATACAAAGTAGATCCTGCACTACTGCAATGTTTAAAAATCATTATGTCAGGATGGACCACAAAGCTAATGATCGCAATAAATGAGAATATTATTACAACACCCGAAGAGCCGATTAGAAGAGGAATCTTTCAGAGGAACTCCTTAAGCCCGATGTGGTTTTGTTTTTGGTTGTCTTTGAGCCCGTTATCGTATCTCCTGAACAAGGAGAAAAAAGGATATGAATTTATTAAAAGCCAGAACCATACGCCAATTTCACACTCAATCTACAAGGTCGACCTAAAACTGTTCAGTGAATCTGAGAAGGACATGGAAACAGTCATTGACCATACCGTCATGTTCAGTAACGATATACGGATGGAATTCGGTACGTACAAATGCAAAACATTACACATTGCTAGAAGCCAAATATTACCGAAGGACTATCAAATCAATGAATGCGATAGTAGGTATTGAGGCAATGGAACCTACTGATTTGTATAGATATCTAGGATACAATCAATCCGGACAGATGAATCATTCAATGATAAAAGATAAACTTAGAAACGACTACTACAGAAGAGTAAAGCAGATATGCAAAACATCTTTATCAGCAAGAAATCTAGTAAAAGCATTGAGCACCTATGCTATACTACTCCTGATTAACTCTTTTGGGGTTATAAAGTGGTGTTGTACTCTGGAACACCTAGATACAAATGCAGGACCTGAAAGTCTGACTTTTCGTATTACAGAAGTAGAATGCATTTGCAAGTCGCCTGCAAATTTGCGCATGGTGAAATGGTTCCAAGTCTTTGCAATCACTTTGACAACTTTGACATTTAAAACTGGTAAATCAGTAGCGCCCAAACACTAATTGCAGATTTTTTTCTGTAATTTGCTCGTTTCTGCAAATAGAGCATATATGGAAGTCGGCCATATTTGCAGAACTGCAAATTTGCAGATGCAAATATATTGTAATTTGGCCCTTAAAATAATTATCATCATCCAAAATCAGCGATTGAAAAAGTGAACTTAAGTAGAGACTGTGGGGGGACGCGGAATAATCGATTTCGATGAAGCAAACCCAGATTATATCTCTAGCTGAATTCTTCAATAAAAAAAGTAGATAGGTCCTTCTCTTTTACCTAAAGCTGTTGTGATGGCGGACAAGAACTGCACCCCATCGAAACTATCGAATTGGACAATTAATTACTCAAATGTAAATTATAAACAGAGCAAACTGGATGAATGGAAAGCTAATGAGTTACATGGCAGATTTTATAATGACCTAATGTAAACAGCCATTGATAAAGAAGCATCAAATACCTAGCTTAAGAGAGGAAACCTGTTCCCAGAGACGGACGGGCTTATGATGGCGAAACAAGACCAAGTCATAAACACAAAAAATTACAACAAGAATATACTGAGAAATAATGTTGCATCTGAAAATGACATTCGCCGGAAATGTTAAAAAGCCTCAGAAACAATACAACATATAACAGGTGGCTGTCCAATGTTAGCTCAAACAGACTATTTATACCGACATAACCAGGTTGCTGCTTTCATACACCAACAAATAGCTAAACATCTTGAGCTTATCAATGAAAACGATTATGGCTAATAGACCCGACATTACGCTCTACAATAAAGTAGAGAAGAAAGGTTATCTGATAGATGTTGCTGTGCCGAATAATCATAGTATTCAGAGAACAATTGCAGAAAAAATCAGTAAGTATGTGCAGATGCAGACGGCCGTAATATTGATACCTACACACTGAATTGTCAGAAAAATTTTGCAATATGATGCTTTCGGTGAAGACTCTTAGAACATAGCAATTACTTGCCATTCGGCTGTAGTTGCGGATTGACCTGCACAAATACTAAGATATTCAAAATAAATAATAATAATCCAATTGCCAGGAACGTTGGCAACTTTTGGAGTAGGTATGTGATTAAATGTGATCAACTCTACTCAAAAAAGAAATCCTGTGATATGAGATAAAAAACTAGGGAAAGATTAGGGAGAAGAAACACAATTTAGTAGAGAGATGAGAAGTGCCAGTAAACGACAGTACCGACTACAAGCCAAAGTCAGTATAAAAAATAGAGTTCCTTAGAAAAATAAAAAAAACTGAAGAGTTCAAACTGATTCCTGCGGAAAAATTCGGCTTCAGAACATGTGACTCAGGATAGTATAGGGCACAATACCAATATATTCAACTTTTTGACTTTGTAATGACAAAAAAAGGATCTGGTTCTTATTTTCCTCCTGTGGTTTTTCAAAACCCCATGACTCAGGAATGTATTTACTATTTATGTTAGTCCAGATTTCCTTTTGATTAAAAAATTTTATCGACCTCTTTTCTTCTTTAGATATAATTTATTTCTTCTTTATACTAATTCCACTAATTCATGATTAAACCATGGTTAGCTGTTTTGTTTAATTTTTAATGATTTCATGTGTGGGCTATCAGAATATTTTACTAATATATCATAAAATTTGGATCCAGAAAGTTTTTTCTTTAATTATTTATTTCGATATTTTTTTTTTTCTTTCTAATTTTTCAATATTATATTTTTATCTATATCTTCCAAATTGCTTATGATCAATTAGAGTTTTTGATTGGTTTACCTCTCTTGTTGGAATATCCCAATTACATATTTTGAAATTGCTGGATGAATGAATTATCTTTGTCTATTTATAGTACGTATTATTATTATCTAACATCTATGAAAACTTAGATACGAAGATGTCTACTCAATAAAATTACTCCACGATCATATTATCTATTCTTACCGTGATTAGGTTGGGATATGAGCATCTGCAGCGCAATGCCATTTTTGCCATTTTGAAATTTCTTAAAACCCAATATTTGTTGTGTTATCTTAATATATTGTTTATAAAGTCCCATCGCATCCGGTCAGCAGTCCAAATAGGAGCCCTAGAAAAAAAAAACAATAATTAAACTTCAAAATATGTAGATTTTTGAAAAACAACATCAACAAACGCAAATAGAAAATGATAGCCTAAAAAAAAATTAATAATCGACTATTAAATTTATAGTTCGTGTCAAACAAAATGCATCCATTTCCTGGTACCTAGGTATGCATGGGCATCACACAAATCAATTTGGCATCGATAGCTAATTATTATTTTGCGAACTTAAAAAACCTCTGGCCTCATTAATGGGTAATTGTTTTTCAATGTTGATTAAAACAAAAAAAAAAACGTTAGTAATTACTTATTTAGAAAATGATTATCAATTCGAAATGGGAGGATTCCCTGCATAATTTTAATTGGTGGTGTTTCAGTAGAAAATACTGTACCTAATGGGTTTTCAGAAAAAAAATTACATATAAATGTATATTCTATACAATTTTTTTTTTAACGATGGGTACAATCGAGTAAATAGTAATTATTAAATTTGACATCAAAAAATCAATGGAAAAGTTTTTCTCAAAGCATCAATGATCCCTGTACAAAAAAATTGAAGCTAAAAGTTTCAAAAGCCCCATTGAGCAGCCTACAAAAATATTAAAAAATAACATTTTATTACATAATTTCAAATTTTTGAAAATTCTGAGAAATGCATGATAACATTTTCAAGGAATTTTTGAAAAATTTGCCAAAAATATGTTTTTAAGAATTATTGAATTTCCAAAGGAAATTCTTTATGTCGGTACGAGTTTTAAATTTTGATGGAAAATACGCCGAATGCATAAATAAAAAGCAGAACTGCAATATTTTTCCAAATAAACTGCATTTTGGTTACAGAAATAGAAGTTTTCCGATAGAAATAGAAGGTTTTGACGGATGTAGTAAATTTCCACCTATTAATTTTCGCTATGGTAAATTTCCAGTGTACCTTATTCGCATAATATTATGCACGCTCAAATAATATTTTACCATAATACGAATGACATTTTTAACAAAATTGGTTTTGGATAGGAAAAAGTCACAAGAGAAATTGAAGAAGGAAACAAACTTGAGTTGAATAATAATCGGGAAATTTTTCCACATGATTTTTTTCGTATCTCTAGTGAAATTATTACGCATTTTCATAACCTGTATTCTACGTCAATCTTGGAATTTTGGCCCAACAAACAAATATTAGGTAGATATAGATGACGTCGCGTCGTAGTAATTTGAAAGTGCCAATGTTCCTTAATTTTCCTGTTATTGTTTTGCAGTCTAACAGGTATTTAAATTTGGGAATAGTTTTTAGTCTACCACATGCCAAATTAATCGAGTCATTCATGTGCAAATTGAAGCTGATTTGAGATTTTAAGGTGACCCCAAAATTCTTGCAGATAATCTCAAAGTTAAAGGGAAAACCATTTGAAACAATGACTTCATTATATCAAATCATAGGTATCAAGTTGGAAGAAACCTCATAATTTCATTTCTGAACCTGAAATTGACTCCAGATTTGCCTTGTTTGATGAAAAGATCCTAATTAATAAGTCTTGGAAGTTTGAAATTGATCTGATTGTCGGAAGTTTTTTATCAGGATTTTTCACACATAAGTTTTTTGGTATCAAGTTGGGAAAAACTGACTGAACAAATTGACTCCAAATTTACCCTGTTTGATGAAAATAGGTATCCTAGTTAATAAATCTTGAAAGTTTTATATCGATCTCTGATTCTCCGAAGTATTTTTCAAGATTTTTCAAATATAAGTTGTTCATTATCACTATCAAGTTGGGAATAACCTCATAATTTTATTTCTTAGGCTCAAATTAACTCCAAATTTGCCTCGTTTGATCAAAATACCCTAGTTAATAAATCTCTGAAGTTTTAAATTTATCTGATTTTCCGATGTATTTTTCGGGATATTTCAAAGGTGATTTAACATGAGATGTTTGGTATCAAGTTGGGATAAACCTCCTAATTTTATTTCTGAGCCTCGAATTCACTCCAAATTTGCCTTGTTTAATGAAAAGATTCTGGTTAATAATTCCTGAAAGTTTGAAATATATCTGATTCTCCGAAGAATTTTTCGGGATTGTTTAAAGTTAATTTAACCTCAATTTTAAAACTTTTTCTGGTATCAAGATGAAAAAAAACTCATAATTTTATTTCTGAGCCTCAACCTGATTCCAAATTTGCCTTGTTTAATGAAAAGATCCTTGTTATTAAATCCTAAAAGTTTGAAACGGATCTGCTTCTTCGAAGAATTTTTCAGGATTTTTCGAAGGTGATTTATTAACATGAGTTGATAGGTATCAAGTTGAGAGAAACCTCATAATTTTATTTCTGAGCCCCCATCTGACTACAAGCCTTGTTTGATGAAAAGATCCTTGTTATTAAATCTTGAAAGTTTCAAATTGATCTGATTGGTATCAAGTTGGGAAAATGCTCATAATTTTTTTTCTGATCCTCAAGTTGACTCAAAATTTGCCCTGTTTGATGAAAATATCCTAGTTAATAAATCTTGAAAGTTTTATATGGATTTCTGATTCTTCGAAGTATTTTTCAGGATTTTTTAAATATAAGTTATTGAGTATCAAGTTGGGAATAACCTCATAGGTAATTTTGTTTCTTAGCCTCAAATTGACTCCAAATTTTCCTTGTTTGATGAAAAGATCCTGGTTAATAAATCCCGATAGATTGAAATAGATCTGATTTTCCGAAGTATTTTTCAGGATATTTCAAAGGTGATTTAACGTGAATTTTAATAACTTTTTCTGGTATCCATTCGGAAAAAACTCATAATTTTATTTATGAGCCTCAAATTGACTCCAAATTTACCTTGTTTGATGAAAATACTCTAGTTAATAAATCACTAAAGTTTTAAATTTAAATTTATCTGATTTTCCGATGTATTTCTAGGGATTTTTAAATGGTGATTTAACATGAGTTGTTTGGTATCAAGTTGGGAAAAACCTCATAATTTTCTTTCTGAGTCTCAAACTGACTCCAAATTCGCCTTGTTTAATGTGATCAAACTCAACCAAATGTCCAGTACGTGTCCAAAAGAATCTCCTGATTTCATTTGATTACAAGAGTCACGGTCGTCACGGCGACTCTCTGGATTATGCTTGCTCCAATTTGCCCTCTGAATCTATAGACTGTTGTGTTAAAAACGCTGGCCTTTCAGATCATCATGCTGTGTATCTCCAATTTGAGTTGATAGGAAATAGACTTCCCGCAGGGAAGGTCAGGAAATTTAGGCGGATTTTTGGGGCACGCAATTACTTGCGCTTTCAGGAGGGCTGCAGCGAACGTGACTGGAATGATGACTTGAGAAGTGACAACCCAAATGAGTCTTTTCATTTGAGCATGTCAGGGATTTTTAATAGTTCAGTTCCTCTTCGTACCATCAGGCACAAACCTCAAAAAACCTGGCATACCAGTGGACTCAAGGTTTCAGCCAGAAACCTGAGATCTTTGAGAACAACCATATCTTTTTCTTGGCATATTATAATAGATATAGGAACATCTACAGGAAAACTAAAAAACTTGCTAAGCAGTGCCTAATAAACAGAGGGAAACATGGAATATCATTAACGACCTGCGCGGCCCTGCCCTAAACAAAACAATCAGAACTACCACAGATACATGACAGCAGATGACATTAACACATATTACTGTTCAACAGCACAGTGTCTGTCCAATGGGGTTGAGCACAGGTGCGAACCTGTGCAATATCTCCAACACCTGTCAGTGCCGGACTCTTTCTTTTTTGAGCCTGTGGTTGCTGAGGAACTGTTATGTCTGTTTTTCGTAACATTTAAAACAAAAAATCTAGCAGGCATGATCATATATATGTCTATCAAGATAGTCTCCTCCCTAACCCTTAGGCATGATTATAGATTTTAAAAAACTATCCATTTTAATTTTCATATTTAAAATTCGCGCCAAAACGCTTCTCAATGTCATGGCGTCATTAGTGACGTCACGTTTGAGTAAACGAAACCTAAAAACTAGAAGTTCCTTAAGGAATATTTGAATAATTTAGATATTTTGAGTAATTAAATATGAGTTCCAAAATGTACAAGTGTTGTGCGATTCCTCAGTGTGATAACACATCAATAAAAACTCCTGAAAAGTTATTTGCGTTGATTCCACAAATGACAAAAGAAAACAATACGAGACAAGTGCACCTTGCAAGGTAAGGCGAGATTCAACTGCAATGTTGCCTAGTATACTTACCTTTATTTTTGTGAAAATCAGTTCGACGCAAGCATTTTATTTACTTTATCTACAAGCGTTTGGTTATGACGTTTTTACATAACCATTTTTCTAGTAGGTATTTGAGTTAGGTCATGAGACTCATAACACAACTAGTGGTGTTAGAGACTTAGTTATGAATTCATAACACAACTAGTGGTATTATGGACGAGGTTATGAATCTATAACACAACTATTTTTGATGATTTGATAAATGTCAAAGGTAAACCTGTAAAGGTAAAATGAAGATAAACAACTACTAATAAACGAAAATCATTGGAAAAAGCTTTCTTATTTTTCGCTTTGTAGTTTGTAGATAAAACGTTGTACATCACACGTGCGTTTAAACATGACTACAAAACTCGTGTGATTAGAACGACTCGGTCTACGACCTCGTCGTTCTAATCTTTCACACTCGTTATTGTAATCATGTTCATAAACGCACTTGTAATGTAATAGTAGATTATACCACGAGTCAATAATGATAGCTATTATTCCCGAGGAATATTTACGAACTGAGCCGCGTTAGCGGCGAGGGAGTAACATTCCGAATTCCGAATTCCAAATTTATTTTATTATTTAAATTATTATGATTTTCAAATATTATTGTATTGGTAATGTACTGAGATGGAAGTTCAAACATTTCTTGATTCTGCTGAACAAAAGTACTTATTTGATGGTAAAAACTCAAGCATCAACACATAGATTTTAGGCAAATTAGTACTGTTTGCCTTAGTAAATCCTTGCTCCATGACTCGCGTTATTTCA